TGTGTGTGTGTGTGTGTGTGTGTGTGTGTGTGTGTGAGAGAGAGAGAGAGAGAGAGAGAGAGAGAGAGAGAGAGAGAGAGAGAGATGCCAGACCGCGGCTAGAACAGTCTGTGCAACACAATCAATCTCACAAACACACCCGAAACACAAGTTCCAAAACGAAGTGAGTACATTGACAGCTGCAAAAATGAGCAACAAGTGGCATCCCCCAACTGGTTTCACCCGCCCACAAGGGATCATCAAGAGGGTGACTCTAAACAAGAGTCTTCGTCACTGCTCGCTGAAAAGGGCGGCTCAAGCCTTGCCACCCGATATATATATACCCATCTTCCCGTCAGGGTTCCTCGTTCGTCCTCCGAAGCCATTAGCAAAAGAACTAACCTTCCGATCCGCCGGTCAAGACTGCAAGAGGCATTACAGAAGAAGTCTTTCCCTCTTCGTGGTCGGTTATAATCCTATAATCGGTTGACCGACCGAAAGGTAACGTATCGGAGATATCCTATCTAAACGAAAATATCCTACCTTAAAGAAGGATGACATCGAGTATTCAGAAAATTTCACCACAATCTCGTCCTGAAAAGTCCGCTAAAAATACAAAATCCGGTACTACGACGGAGATCCACAGGGTCCTCTCGTTCGTCCTCGGAAACTTTATCTAAAAGAAGGATGACATCGAGTATTCGAAAAAATTTCCACCAGAATCTCGTCCTGAAAGGTCCTCTATTAAAATACAAAATACAAAATTCGGTACTACGACCGAGAACCGCAGAGTCCGTATGAATCCAGTCCGCAATAGGTCCCAAACCTAGAAAACACGATACGAGTTCAAGAAAAGTCCGATCGGACCTCGCACTCATGGCGATATGCTAGCGGGGCCGGCGGTCCGTAGTCCTGAACTTAAAATAACAAAATAATAACTTAAAAATTAGACTGGTAAAAACCCCTCAATCTTGTGCAGCAAAATAGCAAAACAGCAAAAACCGCCAGAGCTACCTCAGGATCTGATCCACTTCGGAGTCAGGTACGTACGGTGTGTGTCTGGCTTATCTTCTTACCCCTGCTCTTATCCCTTGCCGTCGTGAAGGTGAATGCGTGCAGTAGCCTTTTCAATGCTCGATTGGGCACAACCTTGGCCAAATGGGCCAGGGCTGCGAGAGAGACCTCCGGGGGGTATCCCCGGAGGTCCGCCTCACAAATAGCGAAGCCAATCGCGCCCTTAACCAGTTCCTTACTCGTACTCTGATCCCATAATCTCTTCAAGGTGGTGGTCTGCACAACCTTCTTTACGCATTTCGCTGTATACGAATGGTAATCTTGCATACTCTGGAAGGAGAGCCTCCCCTCGTTGTGCAGTGCATCGGTGTTCTTAGTGCTTGGTATGAAGCTATGAAACACCCGCGGACGGGTCCGCGGGGCCGAGCTCGGAGGGCGAACGTATTCACGGCCGCCCCCCCGGCCTACCGGGTCCGCGGCGCGGACCCGATTGTTACCAGATTTTTTCTGAATTAAGAAATAGCCCAACAAAAAAACAAAAAATATGGGGTTGTAGGGAATTTTAAGCCCTACAATCCCATATTTGTTTTTTTGGAATCCACTTTGTTCAGGATTTTTTAAAAATCAAAAACTAAATTCCATTTAAAAAAAATTGAAAAATAAAAAATAAAGAAAAGCTGGAATTTTTTTTTCCATTTTTTATCATCAGATATATGGTCCCTGAGTTCACCTGTATTTTTTAGAAATGATTTTCTGTTTTTTGCAGGGGTATTAGGTGTTTTAGAAAAATAAAGATGCAAAATTTGAAAATAAATAAACAAAAAACTTGGAAAAAAGGGTTTGATTGATTGATTCATTCATTCATTAATTGTGTGTGAGTGTGTGTGTGTGTGTGTGTGTGTGTGTGTGTGTGTGTGTGTGTGTGTGTGTGTGTGTGTGTGTGTGTG